ATATATATATATATTGTAAAATTCTTATAGTAAAAGCAGAACACAAAATTTAGTGACTACCAAACTTAAAGTTGTGTTTTTCATAGTCTTGTCTTCAATTGGCAGAGATTTCTTCTGTTATATGATTTTACGAAGCATTCCTTCCCCAAATTTGTTAATTCCTTATCATTTTGTTACACCATGTTAAAGTTTCTAATTTATTTCAAAACAAGTAACAAGATTTGCTTACTTTAAATTGTGTTTTTTCATAATTCAGGTGGCAGAGTCTTGTCTTCTAAAGGTCGTCAAGCCAGTGTTGAAAGACTGAGATATTTAGAAAGCAAGATTCAAGAAATTGAAGAGGCTCACAGTTGTTCTATATGCATGGAGAGACGGCGAAATGTGGCATTTATGTGTGGACACGGAGCATGCGTTGCATGTGCACAAACGTTAAAGATTTGCCATATGTGCCGCAAGCCCATCACGAAAAAGATTAATCTTTATTAAATATCTGCCTTTCACTTTCTCTTTAATCCCCCTTCTTCTTTAAAGAAAAAAATAATAATATGAGAAAAACTGAAGTGATTGTTTGCCTTTTGGATCCTGTGATGGTGATTCGATTGGCGTGCACAACATTGACCCACGCCGTCATGAGGTTTAGTTTTGATGCTCCTCTTATGTGATCATTGAGTATTAAAGCACAGCTTAGGATATCATATCATTCATCATATATATATATATATATAAGTTTCAAGGCTGTATTTAATTTTTAATGTTCTCTAGTTCAATTGTGGAAGTCCTGTTATAGACATGCATCTGCACATGTTTGTCTTATCTCTAATTTTATTACTTACCACTAGTAATGACATAAATGATAAAGATATATATTTTTTATTATTTTAAGTTATTTATAATGCAATTTATTTAAATTAATTATTTAACACTTGTATGTATTATTTTGTGGACGAATGAATTTCACCATAATCATAACTCATTTGTTTTTCATGTTCCTGTAATTTATGCTGACAAAATTTTTAATTAGGTACTGAGTGTTTGATAAAGACTGTTCTTAATGTATATTTTTATAATCCATATTAAAGATAAAAGTGTTTGTACATGTGAGCCACAAATTGATATTCAAAAGAAAGAAAAAAACACTATTGAAATCTTACTAATCACAACACAATTAAGGAAAGCAGCTATGCTGAATATCAAAACCTGCTTGACTGCGGGGTGAAACTCGAAAGTATTTCTAAATATTATTTTTCAAACTCCTTCTGTTTCCTCCGGCAAACAAACAGGTTTTTGGTATTTTGTACACTTGCTTTCCTCAGCTGTGATTCATTAGATTTCAATAGCATATCTATTTATTCCTTGCTTAAATTTTAATTAGGAACCTCAATGTGTGATTACTTTTTAGGTTATTGAAATATATATTAAGGGTAGTCTTTAAGGAACCTTTTTATTGTCTAAATCATTTTCATTCAAAATAACTGAGTTTGACTTTAATCATGAATGTTGTGCCTAGGCATGGTAGTGCATTATACATTATTAAAACTCAACTCAAACTACAAGAAAATAATCTTCAGTAGTTCAAAGAACCTGCAACCAATATGTGCAAGAGGGTACAAACACAGTAATGAAGGAGTTCTTCCTTGTAAATAGATAAAATATGGAATTATGAAGCAATTAAAACTGTAATAAATAAGTTGTAAAAGTGACTTTAAAGTCAAGTTACGAAGTTAGTCAACAGATGGCAGTAACAAATTTACTGTACCTAGCCACTCCATTTGTGTATATACCTGTCATTAATTTTATTCAGCAGTTGTTATAACTAATTTGATTTGTTAAATTGATATTTTCTCAAAGAAGATTGAATCATTACTGTTATAGCAACTTAGAACTGCTATTTCAGTTAGTGCTTTAAGGCACTAAAAATATTCGTACTATACTATTATTCATTTTCGATGAATTTGTTGATTGTTGGTTAGTTACCAAAATATGTTGTAGTCTGATAAAATGATTAATTCCTTAATGAATTTGCAATTGAATAGAAAGGACAAAAATTATTACAAATTTCTATATTTTATGCTTTTAATAAATTAAGCAATTCAGTTATCAGTTATGTATTTTTAATGTGTATTATGTGAATGTTTTTTTATTTCTATTGAATATTCAAGATACCTCATTGATTTTGTAAGTAATAAATCTAATTACAAGACTAAAACACAGACAATACTGATATTAATTATTACTTAATATATTACCTTAGTTATAACTTTGCCAACCGTAATGTTATAAATTTCATGCTTATAGGTTTTCATAAATTAGTTAATACAGTGAAACCTCTCGGGTGCGACCATCTCTCCGTATTCCTGAGTAAAATGGTCGTTGTTCTTAGAACCTACCTCCATGAACTCCAATTGTTATCGAAGGTGCATGACTTTTCGCAAACAATTCTAGTTTATAGTCAATGTCATTTTCTTAGTACAGAAATGCCACTTTAGTTGGCGGTATAAAGAGACTGATCGATGAATAAAATTTGGCGTCTATAAAAATTATCCCAACTGATATAATTATATGTAAGAACAAATTTACCCATTATGAATGATAAAGCTGTTTTAAATAAAAAAGCAATTATGTTTTTTGATTAAGTTTGCGTTTAATTTTATATCATAAAAATTAATTTTAAAAGATGAGAAGAGTTTTTGTTTGAGGTGCTTGTTTTTTTTTTAAAATAATTTTTTTTTCTAATTTAACTTTCAACTGTAAAAGTAAATCATCGACACCAACATCTTTAAAGCACTCTGACTGCAACAAGAGGTTGTATTCTCAAAAAGTGCTCTCTAAATTAGAGCATCAAACAAATATTTTGATTCCATTTTAATCTGTTTATTTGTTTTGATATTTTTTGGTGCTTCCTTATTTAACCTTTTCCGCGTTTGGTGCAGATGTTTGTCTGGTTGGTGAGAGAGAGGTTTTAATGGTCTCTCCTAAAGGTTTTTTTCAACAGAAAGTCTATGCAAGAAATTCTGTGCCTCTCAAAAGTGGTCGTAAATAGAGATGGTCTTTTCTGGAGGTTTCACTGTAGTTTCTTTTTTTAGTGTTCTTTGAAAGAAAAATTTTTTTATTAGATTTTATTAATCCTTATAGCACCTCACTTTCTCTTTTGGTTGTGAAAACTATTACCATATTTTAATCTATAATGTTTTTCTTTGAATAACTTTATTTGATTTGTTGAATATTATTAACCTCTGAAATACTTTATTATCTCTTTTGGGGCCAAAAGCTATTTTCATAGTCCACAGTGTTTCAATATTTTTTGTTTTTTAATTTGTAAAATAATAACTTTTGAAGCACCTAATTTTCTATTTTGGCGATAAAATTTATTTATTTTTATGAAAACCTGAAAAGGAACTACTGATTTTTCAAGCATTACATTCTGCATTTAAAAGTACATTCTGGTATTTAAAAGGTAAAATTTAACTTGTGGTGCTTCAAGACTTAAGGGTGAATCTAATATTTTTAATATTCTTTCCTATTCAGTTTTCTCGTTATTTAATTATATTGTATATTTTATTTATAATGTATTTATGCTTGGATTGAAAAAGACATTTAGTCATAGATTATATGTCTTTAATTTGTAATTTTTATTTATTTTTTTAACATTCTTCTTTTTTTAAAATTTTTTTTTTTTAATTTCTTTGTTATTTTCTTGTTTCCTTTGTGTAAATATTTCAGTTTTTAATAAATACTCTTCTTTAAAATAATCTTAGATTCTCTTTGCAGCTAAATCTGCTATTAGTTTGATATTCTCATTAAACTGTTGAGTTTGATGGACTTTCTAATGTTTTAATCTAAATATATAATTCATAAAAAAAAAAAAGATTAAAGTAAGGAATTATCTATTATAATATTTTTATATTCTTTCACACATGTAATTTATTGCACAGTAACTGATCTGTCTTTCTAACAAATGCTGAATCCTTTCGATTTGCCAATGTTGATTTGTACATTGTGACAATTGTTTCCTTTGAATATGGCAAAAGCTTTTTTTTTTCAGAACCATTAGCATTTCTGTTTAAAAAAAATTCTGTTATACTTGCATACTGTTAATTATAATTTTGTGATAAAATTTACTACTCTTATTTGTAAATATTTATTTTTGTCTGTACGTTTTAGTACATACATTTATGAATTTCTTGACTGTTTTCTTTTTGAATTATCTAATATTGCTCTCTCTATAAATTTATAAATTTAAAGTTTTAGTTACATTATGATGAACTATTTTTTTTATTTATACTTAAAGACATTTTATTGAACTTGCTTTTTTATTGACATCATTGAAATTGCTTTTACGCATTTGGTTTTCAAATTTATATTTTTTGTTCTGTTAGAAATACTAATTAGAAGTGTTAAAAAATGAATGGTTTATGGAAATAATGTTAATAGAGAAAATGCTTATAATACTTTCATGTAGTTTAGAACTGTTTCTACCTATTGGTTTTACAAAAAAAAAAAAAAATATTTAGTAAATGCACAGTAATTGGACTGTGCAGTTTAACTCCAATAATTTACCCATTTATCATTGCTGCATAAGATAAAAATGCCAGATTCAATGCATATATTTAGTTTTCTATGCTCAGAAGAGATTTATAAATAAAATTATTTTCAATATTTGAAATATTTTTTTTCCTCTTTGTTTAATCAGTTTAAGATAAAATCTCTCGCAAAGAATATTTCAAAAACTATTTTCATTATATAGTGTTTCCTTTCCTTTCTTTTTGTTTATTTTGCTTAGCTGTTACATGACTTTTTATTTATAAAAGAAGTTTTATATATTGATACTTTAGTATAAATTAACATTTTATCAAAATGTTTATAGTCTACTAAACCGATTCTATTGACTATGTTTTACACATTCATCAAAATATTTAACTGTTTATATCGTAATTTGACCATTTTTTATAACATTATACATATTTATTATAAACAATCAGAATCTGTAGTTTTCAAAAGAATAGTAATATTTAATGTAAACAACATAGTATTATTTATTGTTGAACATGTATACTATGTAAGAGAATTCTCTTTATTATGTAATAGTCTGTTGATTATTTTTAATTTTAAACAATTGCTGTGCAAAAATTTATTCAAAATGGACAAATTCAAAAGTGTGATGCATGTTAAGTGTATTATCCATTTGTCAAAATAACTCTTTGAAACACTTAACATTTAAATAACAATTCATACTTTTTCATATTATGCATTTTCTAAAATGTTCTACGTAAAAGAAATTAAAATTTGAATTGCTCAAAAAAATTTTCTAGGGGAGTCTTAGTAAAATTGTCTAAAATATTATTAAGCAAAGATATTAGTTATTATAAAACATAGCATTTATTTGCATTGAGTTGAATGCACAAAAATTATTGTTATAAATATATTTTTATTTAATTTGCAACTAGTCTTCACCCATCTCAAAGTTTTTTCTTTTTGAGTGTAGACAAGGGCTATTGCGAAAAATCTCCTCTTTAGATTACTTTCTTTCTTTTTTTATATACATTTTTTGTTGAATATGTTTTACAGTTATAATCTCTCTCCATAGCTGCCAACAGTTATAATCTAATTTCCATAGCTGCCAACTCTACAGGATTTTCCAGTAGACTACTGGATTTTGCCAGTTTTTTTCTATTTTGGTGACTATAAAAATGTCTTAAATTCCTTACGTGTAAAATATTTAGCACATTTTGCAGCAATCATCATGAAATTTATATTATTTTATAAAATCTACTGGATTTTTTCTTATCCACGTTGACAGCTATTTATTTCTTATGGTGCCAGGCACAGTTAATAAATAACAATTCAGAAGCCATTAAGCCAAAACTATGGAATTTTTAAAAAAAAACTGGAGACAGGCTTGAAATAAAATGGCTGGTGAGATGAAAATAATCTGCATTTTTTTCTTTCCTTTGTTCATTAAAAGGCAGTAGTTGTTGTTAGAGCAATAATAAAAGAATTGTATTGGAACATTCATTTCATTTCTCAAAATTTAGAGTGATGTGACATTCAGGTGCGCAGAAAAAATTCTCAGAACATAATATTTGCCACTCTTTCAGTCCTGAGGACTGAAATCAGTTGAGAAAAGAGCAGTTTAATAATTTTCTGTCCTCCATTAAATATTTATTTTCAAATTTAACTTTTTCTTTAAAAAGTGTAATAATTATTTGATGTTAAAATAAGTAAATAAATTATTACTACTTATAAAAACAATGTTTTTCATAATGATTAAGTAATGATGCCGCACCACATGGAAAGACTGGGAATGACTTTCAACATCTGCCTGTCTAAACAAAATATTGTTAAATCTATATTTGCTTGAATTTGCAATGAAGACCTCAAACAAGATGTGACATCCTTGTCAAAATCTTTTGCAATAGAAGATGACATCGGAATTTTTTTTAAAAAATGATTCGATGTTACTAATGCACCTTGGCAAGTATGTTGGGGGGGGATTGTCTGGTTTTGTAAATAAAGTGTGCTGCATTGTTTCATATTTGGCTGGTCATACCAAAATCTTCTTTACTTTCAGGATCAAAAAAATAGAATTGTGTTTTGAATTAACAAAAAATTTTTTTTTCTTACTTGCCCTTCTGTAGCCCTGATGTAAGCCAAAAAATACTCTGCTTCATGTAATTTTAGTTCGATATATACAGTATCACTAGCAGTAAAATAGCTTGGGCCCTCGTTGGACCAATATTCACAGATCTTGGCTCAATAAGGGTTGAAAGAGCCGTTATTTCCCGATATCGGCCCTCCATAAAATTGTCGCAGTCACCCGATATTTTATATTCGTTTTTCAGCTTATATTGGCCCCATAAAAGCCAATATTGGTTCCTCGGTGTATGTTCATAAAGGACCCGTATTGATTCAATTTTTAGCCCAACTTGGCGCCAAGGTAAAATTATTGCTAGGAATGTCACAAGAAATAATGGTGACAACTGTATGGGGTGTTAAAACTTGTAAAACAACTTTTAATCATGCATTGTGGGGGTCAGAAAGCAAAGGACGAGTTACGAGAAAGTGGAGGTTTGAATACCTATGAAGAGGAATAATAAAGGACAAAAAAAATCTTTTGTACTGAAAACTTAATAACAACAAATGTTCAATCAAGCAGTCAATATATCTGTGAGATATTGGAATATTCTCTGCATTTCACTAATGAAACTCTAATTTAAGTGACAATGATCACTACTGATTCAATGAGTAAACGATGCTCTTTGTCCTGGTGTAGTGTGAAAAAAAAAATTGGGGTCGCATGATTTTTTTTTTTTTACAGAAGAATTACGTATGTCTATAACATTTGATCTGAAAACTAAAAATTTCACAACAATTAGTAGTTTTTGACTACTGCTGTGAAACTGACTTTTACCATTAAATAAAAATTCTTTAAACATTATTACAGTTAATGAAAAATTTTTATGAAAAAAATTATGTTGTGGATAAATTGAACTAAGTAACTATTAACTACGATAATATATTAGTAATAATGCTTAAATTTTGCTTCATTCTAATTGTTGAGTTCAAATTGTAACTGTTTCAAAAACTTTAAAAAAAATTAATACCATGAAAGTGATAACCATAAATTATTTTGTTAAATTATATAAAAAATATGCAAAATTTTAAATTTGCTTTCTTAATATTTTTTCTTTTAAATTATCGTTGCTATTTTGAAATGTAAAAAGAGAAGTAACTTCAAAAACTTCTGAAGTTTAGGAAAATTATTGTGGGGACGTGCCATCCTGTGCCCCTCTGATGCTACACCTATGTCTAGAAAACAAAAACCGAACTAACTGTTAGAAAAAAAGAAATCTTGAAAAGAAAAAAATCCATGCTCAGTTCTGAAGAAATGTAGCTTGAAAGAAAATGTTCTTTGTTTTATGACTCCACTTTGTAAGAAGATTTTACTGTGGAAAGCTTATGTTTGTAACCATTCGTTTAGTCACGCTCTGTGTTATTCCCTTAATGACTCCCCTTAGGTCTTTTGTGATACTCTCACATACTAATGGTGCTATTCATTCTTTTCTTTTTTTTTTATTCTCTCTCTCTCTAATTATGCACTTGTGAATGGTTGTGTATTTAAAAATTAAATAGTATTTCATTCCTTTTAATCTATCTCAATGTATGCAAACTTTTCTTAATTGGATGAAGGTATTTTGACCAAGTACATTGCTTATTTCGATAGATCTCTCTGTAACATGGAGTCAGTGGGGGCACTTTTCCAATCTTGCTCAACAGCAGTCTTTTCATACAATCTGGTTTCAATCATAGTTTCCACCTGACCCCATTATTCTTTATTTGGTAAGAAAAAAAGATTTAAAATAATTCAATCTGAAAAAACTTTACTTGACAAACAATAATGCTTGATTGGGGATCATTTTCAGAAACTGGTACCATTGCTACCTCACCAACTGGTCTACCTAACTTACACCAATCAGACTCTCAATTTCATTTCAAAGATAAGGTTACTATCAAAAATGCAGTGTTCATATTGGCATTTAATGTTTTCCATTACAAATAAGAGTTCTACTGATTAAATCAATTGAATTTTTACAACTCTTTATGTACGACAACAGTTTGAGCAATTTGGTGCATGCTGTGCTAGCTCCATATTACAAAACTTGCTCATTTTTGTATGATTTATTGTTTTTTTTTAATGTTTTACTATTAGTTTACAGGATATTTGTGTGTATATGGTATCATAATTTAAAATATAAAAAAGGTATTAAGTACGTTAGTCTTGTATTTTGCTACGATAACTGATCCTGAAATATTTACTGAATTTTTTTTATTTTATTTAATTGTAATTGAAGACCCAGGAGGAAGAACGTTTTTGCGAGCAGAAAGAAAGGTTTTTTTCTACAATGTGGCCATCTTCGCTGTGAAATGGATGGTTCAGCTTTTAAAAGGAACCGATTTTACCAGTTACTGATTTGTCCAAACTTAGTGTCAATCCAATCATCATAAACGCAGAGCTATAAGCAGAGAGCTCGCCGCACTTAACTATACTCAATACCCAATCATATTTATGTGAAAAATGGACACAAACAGTTCTTCTCCCTTGGTCTTCAATTATTTTTTTATACTTAATTTATAAGTGGTTGCAATTTTACTCTTCATTGAATTCATAGTTTCCTCTGCTACCTTTCTGCGCTGTTTTTATCACTTCAATCCAATTTATGGATTGATTGCTTCTTCCTGTTGTGAATTAATGTATGTAAAGTGGGTGGACTTCCCAGAGCTCTTCCTCAATGAATGTTAACTATTATCATTTTTGAAGTAAAAGAATGAAAGATTATATATATTATTTCAAGTAAGGAAGAAGACACCCGATTTACAGATGGAATGTGTGTGTGAATTGGATAAATGTTTTGTTCACGATGCTCAAACTTAAGAAATGTACAGGAACATCTCATTCATCACACCAATAAATATTTTATAATTCGTCGTACCTAGCATCATTTCATTCGACTTTGCAAAATATTTCCGTATCGCTATTTGTGCCAACTACAAACCGTTTTTCAACTTGCAAGATTTGTAAAAAAAAAAAATCATTTTAAGTTGTTTTGCTTGCCATTGCTCGAAAATCGAAGCTTAACGATTATTTTGGCTCGGCAACCGATACAGATGTCTCCCAAATTTCGTATTTTTAAATGCTAAAAATTAACAACGTTTTTAAAAATGAAGAAAAGAGGAAACGGAAAAGATAGAAATACAAGGTTTGCTGCTTTCTAACAAGAAATAAGTGAGCTTATTTCGACTAAGTTTCAAAATATTTTAACCTTGCGAAAAACCTTACATATGTAAGGTTTATCGACAAATGGCGTTGCTGTCTGAGAGAGATTTATTAGGGAATGTTAAAAAAATGACCCTCTTTCGCAACAATGGGGTATAATCTGGAGACTTATCAGGCACTCGTTTAAATATTTAAATTGGAATGTCAGATATACAGAAGAAATAATTATTTTCTAGTTTTTTCTCATAGGAGTGCTAACTGTTGGCGAACTTAGTCTTAATTAACTTAACTTTATTCGTGACTAAGTCTGGAATTTTCTGAGCAAAAAATTATACTTCTATTTCCATTTGTGCCATTATAACTATTTTATCTTATATAGTGTGCCATTAAAATTTTCAAGAGATGTGGGGAAACATTCACATTGGTGTAAAACAACTACTAAATTTTAGATTCTTAAAAATTTATTCTTTTATTTCTTGCAAATAGTAAAGGTTGATCTTGCTTTTAAAACTGATGATAACCCTTACGTAAAAATTGAGGTATTTTTCAAATGTATAAATGAGGTAGTTATTTTAATGCGTCGTTAGGTTGAAAAGGGGGCAAATGGTTACTTTAAATAAGTCTCCAGAGGTGTTTAATCTTACATCTGTGGAGAGATAGATATTTACTACTTTAAGGTTTATACAACTCAAGTACACATTTTTATGAATGTAGAGGTATTTTTTTATCAGCTTAAGGTGCATCATTTTACGCATCAACTTATAGCTCAACCTCAAATGTATTTTTCGACCGTTGGTTTGTTTTTTTTATGATCGTGAGATTTGATGTTCTACATAAGGTTATTATTTTTCTAACTCAAGTGTGGATATATGTAGTTGTTGTGGTATTTATTTATCTACCTAAGGTGTGCTATTTTGCACTTCCGGTTATTATAAATCAACCTCAAGTGTATATTTTTGACACTTGGAAAGATTATTTTTTTGTTAACGTGAAATGTCCCATGTTCTACCTTAGTTCGTAACCTCAAGTGTATAATTTTGTATTTTTAGAGGTATTAATTTATCAACCTAAGATGCAACATTATACATTTCAGGCTTTTACAGCGTAACCAATAGTTATTTTTTTAGTACTTAGGAAGGTAATAATTCATAAACGCGAGGTGTTATACGGTCCACCTAGTTTATTAACTTTTTACCTCCCTATTATTTATGTTATGTGAAGAATAGTGTATATCTTAACATTTTTTCACTAGCAGAGATCTTCATTTGTCAACCTGAAATTTTTAAGATTACACCTTCGGCAGTAATTGCTTCTTTTGTTAAGCTATAAAAGAAAGTTTCAAATACATAATTTTCTTGTAATTTTAATATATTCAATTAAATTATCTTGAAATGACACTTATCCGAATTACACAGTTAAAAAACAGAGATGCCAACTGCTCCGGACACGCCAAAATAATTAATAAAGACGGTAAATAACTGCAAAGTAAGTTTTGCAAATATTTGACTATTTTTGCTTGCTTTTTAAAAGGTATAGCATGATATAAGTACTATATAAAGCGGTGAATTATATAAGCCTACGAATTATTTAGAAATAGTGGAGGATAAGAACCTACTGAATTGAATTTATTAAACCAAGAATCACTATTATATACCACTTTAAAATATATATTTGCTGTTTGGAGCAAGTTGGCATCTCAGAAAAAAATCATTTGTGGGAACTCACATTTTTATTAGGTCTAAGGTGCTTGAATTTTTAAAACTGCAAATTTAAATAATTGGTCAGCTGACATTCAAAATAATTTTATTTTAAACTAAATTTTCATTTTTTGTTACAAACCAACAAAATTATTTTAAATATTTATTCTGTCTCCCTGCTGAAACTTAACAGGAAAAAAAAAATTAATTAGAAAGTCATATTTACAATAATAGCGACTGGTTTCAAAATATTCGAATCATATGATCGTCAAAAGAATTAATTAAACAAAATATAAAAAAAAAATTTCATGATTTAAATTAACTGGATAAAATTAATTTTCTTTTTTCAGATAAATGACATTTCACTTCTATCATCTCTATTCAATCCTCGTAGCCAAAAGTATGACAGATACCACGAAATAAAATACACTGAAGAAACTACTAACATTAATAACTGTAACTGTTAAATAAAAATATTATTTGGTGCGTATAAAGAAAGTTATTTATGTATTGTAATTAATAGATTGAAATATTTGGTATATGTAGTAATAATTGGGTTTGTATATGTATTTGTATAAAATCATGATTAAAAAAAGTTAGATGATTGAAACGTCGTGATAAATATAATTAAGGCCGAAAATATATAAAAGGTAATTAAATTAAAGGGGAATGTGATCGTTAAGGAAAGTGGTAGTACAATGCTAATGTGGGATAGCAATAACCCAATAGGTCCAAAGGGTCACAAAGTGTGAGGTTTGAACAAACTGGATGATTTGGTATCACCAAATTTGGAACCAAACAATATATATGATTTAAACAGTAAGCTGATGTCTCCAATAAGAAAAACTAATAAAATCACACTTATGCATGCCCATAACAATAAAAAAAAAGGTACTCACCGCACACATACTGGAGGACAAGATAAAGACAAAATGAAACACACATTTTTAAATTGCGTTTAAGATTTATTTAAGAAAAATATCTAACAACATAACTAGTGGAAATACGTCTTTAAAACCATTTTTAACAGTAGAAACACCTTTAATAGAAATGGGTGACGACAGAAATTATGGCATGCATTAAAAAGGCGAAAAGAATTTAATTATTGAAAGGACATTTATAGAAAGAAGCTTAATTTAAGAGGGTCTTTAAATGTTAAAGAAAATTAAAGGTATAAAAAGTTGATTTTAAATTTTACAGAAATTGATTACAGTTAAGGATTTAACTTAAAATAAAGGCAAAGAAAAAAAATGTAAAAAAAGAGATCCCTCGATACGGACCGAAGTCCACATCTCGGAGAAAAAGGGTAACCTGCCCGAAGGCTCGAGAAAAAGAGAATGTATTTAAAAAGACTTAAAAATTCCTTTAAAGAGGCGGAGAGTTTGAAATTTAAAGGAAAGAGATTGGTTAGTTAGCCCCCCTAAAATTAAAAGAAGAAAAAGAAAAGCGTGAATAGAGGGGTTGGTTGACTTTCCCCACAGGAAGTGCGATGACCGCAACGACCATGAGAAAGGTCAACAAGAAAGTTAAAAATAAAATTGCGAAATTGAAAAAAAAGGAATAACGTTTAAAGAAAAATTAAAGGCTTAAGTAAAATTAGAAATTAATTTGTCACTTTACATTAAGTGTAAATGTGACAATAACCTTTACAGAAATTCACATGCATGATTCCAATCTTATTAGGAAATTTTAACAATCCGAAGACATGCCATCACAATTTTAATCCTCTATAGAGGGGATGACACCTCCGCTTCGGTAGCCCGACGACCTGCACGCGAAGTACAGCACTTTACGATAGAATAGTTTAACGAGGACCCATACCGCACACCCTCGGTCCCTACGCAGACTGATCCAAGTGGTCACCCACCCGCACACTGACCTCAGCCAGTGATGCTTGATCTGTTGGGAACCGTGTCTTAACGATCAACCCACTGCGGGACGCAAATAAATGCACAGTTTGAATTTCATGAAGTTACTAATTTGTTTTATTATTCATCAAACCAATTAACGCCTTTTTTCTTATTAGAAATGTTACCATATGTTGAAATGAACATTTAATAAAGAAATACACCACGATATCCATTTTTGTCATATCTGAAAAATGCCTCAAAAACTTAATCGTGCAAAGAGAAAAAAATTAAATCCACTCTCACTTTGCAATATGAGTTTATACTTACAATTTGTCTTGATTTTTGACAGAATGTGATTTTAAATTTCGAAATACTTAAAGTTCTACTTATTTCATATTATTAACTCTTCGTTATATTTCAGAAGTTAAGAGTTTTGACCTCAGAAGTAAGACTTAAAATAGTCCCAAAGAATATGCTACTTAAAATTTTATAATGAGAATGAAAGCATAAAATTTGTTACAAAGGAAATTACATCTTTTATTTTGATTTATAAAATTAGTTTACTGCAGAAAAAATCAAAGCAAAAATCAGAGAGGGTGGGGGTTGCGGCTTTCTTACGTAAGCATGGGAGAGGTTTTTACTTTTTTGCTAACAGAGACGGAGTCCAAAATTGCCAAAAATATGCTTACATATTATTTCATAAGCCCCATATCGGAAATAAATCTTTATTTTCGTAATCATTATGTAATTAAGTATGACATTATTTTCAAGCCACAAATAATATCTATATATTATTCCGCTATCATTTTTTCTCCCTTATCGGAAAGAAATATAAGATTTCTGAATGAATGTTATCACTGCAAGAACAATCCTTCTGAAATCACTTATCCCCCTTTTTTATTCTTTTCAGAGTTTCATTCAGAATTGCCTAAAAACTCAGACATGATTTTCTTAATTTTTATTTGTTTTATCGCAGTAAACGCTGGTAAGTTCAACAATGTTTTATTATTTTTTTAAAAAAATGTATAATTAATGCTTTCAAAAAAGAAAGAAATACAATTCTCGGTTGATTTTCCAATATAAAATATACACTACGTTCGAATTTACTCCTCTGTATTGAAATTCGTAAGTACTATTAACAAATTAACAGTTTTATACAAGGCCTAATTGTGGCCCAGGGCAAAAGTCCCCTACCCCCCTTTGCTTCAGAGATGAGGAACCGAACTTTAAATTTTTCACCTCATTATAGATATATAACAAGAAAATTGAACCTAAAATAGCCCCTTCAATGGTCAAGCGAAGTATCGTTCTGTTCATTTTATTGGTTTTCAGACCATTCTATGTCCATCATTAAAAGGATATAGGAGATCTGAAGAGCCAAAATTTGACAAAAATGCTATTTAAATTTATAATTAGAAAATGTAAAGCAATGTTATTTTAACTAAGTTATTATTTTCTTTAAATTAACTGAATTTTTTTTATTTCCGATGGCAAGGCATATTACATTTATAAAAAACAAGCCCTGAATTAAAGAAGTATAAAACGGTCAACAATGGATTAACTGATTTTTAACTTAGTCATCTAGCTGCAAAAAATGCATATCCTTTGCTGACATTAGGGCGGAATTCAGCTAAATTTTCGCAATTACGATGGCTCACTTAAGCCCGTATTTTTGTAAACACATTATATTTTGCTATATGTAAAAATACAGGCTTTTCTTTGACCAAATTTGCGCATCGTCATGGCGAAAATTTAACTGAATTCCGCCCTAGAAAGCCATGGATTTACGAAATATAGATTATTTGTGTTCATATGATAGATTATTGAAGAGGCTAACATATAAAGAATTTTACACTGTAGTGATATTTTGCTTAAAAAAAGTTCATGAAAGAAGGAAACGTAAAATAAACTTTTTATTCGATTTGGCCCCGTATGCCCCTGCCTTAGTCAGGCTCTGGTTTTATAAGTTGGAAAAATATTCCTGTCCTCTAACGAAAGCATAACTTCTTATATTGGAAGTCTTATTTATGTAGTGAGTGTAGCAGGACACGGGAAGTCAGTTTAAGTAAACATTCTTATGTTCATATTGATGGAAAGCGTAATTCAAGCATTATGTGCAGCAGTATGGTCTCTTACAGATAACTGTAATGTAAAGAAATGAATTATTTTTCATCCTGTTGAGCCGCGATGGTTCAGGGGATAGAGCGTTCGCCTTCCAATGAGGTGAACAGGATCCAACCGGGTCCGAATCCCAGCAATGAATGAATCCAGCATCCGGCTCTCACCGACCACAGTGCTGACGTAAAATATCTTCAATGTTGAACGGATCATTGGTTAGGGTCCCCTTGCCGTAAAGCTAACCGTGGATAGTTTTTGTGGTTTTCCTTTCCATGTAACGTAAATGCTGGTTAGTCCCATCAAAACGCCCTCCACGAAGGCAAACTTCTCCTAATACTTGATCCAGGAGTTCCCTTGTCTTCTGGATTGGGTTCAAAATGACAAGGCTACGGAGTTGAACATTAGTAGTCGTAAAACCAATAAATGGGGTCGAGGATTAAAAAATAAAGAATAAAATGTAAAGAAACGGTATGCTTTTCATAGAGGAAAAGAAGCAGAATGCAGTTTGTGTGATAGAACATTCTCTTTGAAACATCATTTAAAAGCACATACTGGAGAGAAGCCAATTTCATGCAATGCACGAGATAAAACTGACAAAAACGAAAATGCTAAGAAGAAAATGAAAAATTCTTAACAAAAGAGAAATTACGAGAAAGAGTTCCCTTCGTGTGTGTGTGGTACATCGATTAAAAATTTATTGGGTAATCAGTACTTTTTAAAACCATACTGATGAGATAACTTAAGAAAGTTTGTGGTGGAGTGGCAGTGTTGTTCGATTCCCAGTTGTTTCGAGTATTTTGAAACAATTTTAGAAAAAAATATTACTAGTATTTTTGTTGGATGGTATTGATATTTTTAGGGGAGGGGTCATTAATGTTGATCATTGGCGATTTTATTTGTTTTGATCTGTGCTTTTGCTTTAATCATAATTTTCGAAATAATTATGGAGAAGCAGTAGTAGTTACGGAAGATAGTAGTTGGTGTTTGAATAGATAATACTTCGTGATTAAAAACTTCATTTGCTTTATATAAATAGAAAATAGCAGTTGAGCTCAAAACAGTTTCTCTCTCTCTCTATATATATATATGTATATTTTTTTTGTGTGGCAGTTGTGAATGGGCTTGCATTCCTGATTTGACTCTTGGCTTGG